CAAAATCACAAATGAAAGAAACAATGTTTAGATATCTATTTCCATGACATCTCAAATACATTGCTCGCACATGTCAGTGGAGTACCAAAAACAACAAAAAAAGAAAACGATTTGGACCGTAAAATATATTCAATTTGAGTTTTCTTCACATAACAATCTATAAAGAGTCATAAATACAGTAGGAACACAAATTCACAACAATGACATAGTATATCACAAGGACTTGTGCTTTCACGTAATATCCTGTAACAATCAATCATTTCAAAACCATAATAGTAACAAAATTAATGCACACAATGCAACCAAATTACAAGGATCCTACACTCCCAGTATATAAAAACAGTACATATATATCTAAAACCATCTTGACATTCAAATCCTCTAGATAAATTACATGAAGAAAATCGAAGTCTGAACCAAAAACTGACCAGTACTGCTGGCCGAAATCGAAATCGAAAAAAAAAAAAAAATCATTTACATGGGGACGATGATGAAACAACATTGAGGCAGCTGAATGAACCGAATCACAAGCAAAACCAACTAGCACCAAACTCGAGTAGATGTCGATTTTTGCGAAACAAATAATGAATAAATTTACACGGCGATTATAATTAGAACAAACTCCGAGTACCTTCTGTGCTCCAATCGCATGTTACGACCCTCACTTGGTTTTTTTCGAGAAACGAAAAACGAGACCTCAGTCTGAGCTTGAGTCGTAAAAATCACTTGGGCAAGGGGTCATGACTTCAGATTCTAGAATTTGAATGACCCGGTGCATTGTTGGTCGATCCTCTGGGCTCGAAGAAACACATTGGATAGCAATTGAAAGCAGGGCATCGAGGCTTTCGGTCTGCACTCTTTCACAATGTGGATCGACTATTTCTCTTTGCCTATTTTCGGTAACTAAATAATTTAACTGCAAAAGAAAAAAGAAATGAAAAAAAATAAAAAAATGTGATGATGCATTTTGGTGACTGCCGTAAATGATGAAGTCGGTTTTATGAAATATGGGCGCTCCTTATGGAAGCAGTTTTATTGAATATGAATACTACTTTAGTTTTCTTTTTAGCAACACTTGCAAGCTGGAATTTTGGAACTTTCACATAGTCTCACCTAGGGTTGCAAACAAACCGAGCGGCTTGCGAGCGCTCGAGTTTGACCGAACTCGAGCCGAGCTCAAGCGGCTCGAGCATTGGTTTGGAAGGTCGAGCTCAAGATATGGGATGAATTACTAATACCCCTTATATATAAATATTACAATATTTTATATATGTACTTAATGGTAATTTTACTTAAAAATTGAGTTGAACTCGAGCCTAGCTCGAGCATTTTGATTTCAATCGATCTCTAGCCGAGCTCGAGCGATTGTCTTCTTTTGTCAAGTCGATCTTGAGCATCATAAATCGAGCTCGAGCTCGAGCAGGTAAAAAAAAAAATCAATCTTGCTCGATAAAGCCAATGCTCGACTCCGCTCGGCTGGTTTACAACCCTAGTCTCGCCATTTATAAATTTTCTAATAGGTCAGCTAATAATCTGACTGGCTAATAACCAATCAACTAAAAATATTAGAGAACTGAAAAGTGGGAAAACCATACCCATCCAACAATGTTAAGACCCTTCTCAATGAAGGATGCATCAGTTGGCCGCTTTCCGCTCACAATTTCGAGCACCAGAACACCAAAACTATAGATATCCGTCTTTTCGGTAGCTCTACCACTCTGCATATACTCTGTCCAATAAAATTAACATCAAAGAATCAGCATCAAGATTTTCTTAAATCTTATAGAGGAAAGTTTAATTACATATAAATAAAGAGAAAAGAAATATAAATAAATAAACATTTGACTTTGGAAATTACAAATTAGGAATCACTCAGTGATTAGTATCCATCTTACATTTTGTATGGCATTTAGTAGAGCCAAAGATTATTGCCATCATCAAACTTTTACAGTTGCATGGTACACGTTTTTATCAAGCATTTACATTCATACCATGATTTTTCTAATTTAAAATGTGTGATCGGAATAAGACTACTCACTGATGTTATCAAATTTAATCAGGAACAATAACAGTCGGGGCAGTATGTAGACGTAATCAAATCTCAAGGTTCCAAAATTTTCTGAGTTTTCTTTAGTAACTAGGAACCTCATGAGTAGCTTTTGTAGACATCCAGAGGCAAACAAACAAAAAAATCAGCCCCAGTGAAGGCCAAAGAAACATATATCACACCTAAAATCGAGGAGTAGCTCGTCTAGAAACCTCGACATCATGCAACAGCAATTAAATATCAATCCACATGCATAACAGAAAATGGCTCCACAAATTACTGTTGCAAGAGAAACATGAATGCAGAACAAAATGCAATTTCGTAGTTATTGGCACTGAAATTGAAGCAAGTAAAGAACCAACAGAGTGAGTTATGTGTCCCTACCAGGAGCCAGATATCCAAAAGTCCCAGCAACAATGGTCGTTATATGGGATTCCTCGTCCTCCAATAATTTAGCCAGTCCAAAATCAGACACCCGAGCATCAAAATTTCCGTCAAGTAAAATGTTGCTTGACTTGATGTCTCGGTGGATAATTCGAGGGGAACAATCATGATGCAAGTAAGCAAGGCCCTTTGCAGCTCCCATGATAATATTTAAACGAGTCTCCCAGTCTAGGTGCTCACCTCTCTCTTCATAAAAAAGACAGTTCTAATAAATATCACAAAATGGGATAAGTACATTTGCAGGTACTGATGAAACACGAGCACCGAAATGTTAAAATATTTATTCCAAAATTCAAAGAGAATACAAGAAGAGTTAGCCTTATAACCAGCATATTCTACTAATGTTTTATGTATTTCTGCTTTGGGCTTAAAAAATTCCAGTAGTTCCAGATGATGATTTTTATGCAAAATATCTGATATGTGTTGATAGAGAGCAATGCTCAAATAGAATCGAGTGAAAATGTCAAAAGAGTGGCCTCTATTTTGACATTTTCATACAGGTAACAAATATTTTCATCTGAACGATCTTTGTTTTGTCCCAAAAACATAATCATTCTAACGAGGGCTTGCAATATGCCCACCCTCCAGGAGCTTTGTTCGCTTGATCCATTGAAGCTGATCCTTCAAAAAATTATTATCACATATACACAATCAAAAGAATTGATAGTAAAAGGACTACTTTTTCATCCTGTTCGATATTTGAAATCTGGACAAGAAGACGAAATTACTAAGGGCTTCCTCTATGTTTCCCATCTTTGAATTGGATAAGAGTGGTTAATAAATTAAGCCCAATACTTGCCTTCTTCATCAACCACCAGTTTTCTATTTCTTCAACTTTCTGTTATGTATGTTGTTTTCAGATGGGAATAAGCTTTATTTGGATTAGAAATAAATATTTATAGATCGTTATTCTCATTCTTGGATTAATAGATTTCATAGAGCAGGGGACCTATAAATCACTCAATTTTAACTAGAAGACTGACAATCACATTAAGATGCATCAGTTAATTTGAGCATCTGAGAAATGAACTGCACAAAGGCATTCCTTCTGAGTACAGAGATTATTTACGTACACACACTTTAGAGGCTATAAAAACAGTCTAGTAGAACAAGGGAATGACTAGAGTGAGTAAATTTAATGTATGAAATAAAGAAGTGTTCTAACCATGAAGAGCCTCATCAAGGCTTCCTCCCGATAAGAAATCATATATCAACAACTTTGATGTCGGGGAATTGCAGTATCCACGAAGATTCACCAGGTATTTGTGTTTGATGCTTCCAAGAATTTCAAGTTCTCTCTCGAAAAAGCGATCAAAGCCCTCATTGAGCTTCACAATCCTTTTTAAGGCAAATAAATTGCCATCATCCATCACAAGCTTGTAAACAGTTCCAAAGCCACCGGCACCAATAACATGCTCTTCATTTAAACCCTCCAATTTTTTTATGATGTCCTTTGAAGAGTATGGAAGGTCACCATGAAACATTACAATTGAGGCGCCTATATAACGTCAGAAAATTTGGGTTAATTAAACTGAAAGTAGAAAATACGGTTGATTATGCTGCATGGGTTACTGGATATTTACCTCCACTGACATCCACTGCAAGGCCTTTGCCGTCATTTTTTTTACCAAGCCTTTTATACAGGAAACAGCCCCAGAAACACATTAGGGCTACAAGAAGCAACGCACCCACAGTGGCCAGTGCACTAATAAGAAGCTTTCCTGAATATTTCTTCTTGGATTGGGAATGTGCTAGAAATATATAAAAGAAAAATAAAATATATAGTATAGAAAGAAATTAAGAAACAAAGAAGTCAGGCCAGTTCATTTCTAATTTTCTTTTTGATTGACATTATGTACGCTGGAATGAAAACAGAAGAGCCAACACAATGATTATAGGAGTTGAAGAGTAATTAGTTCAATACGCATTGCATCACTAAACTATGAAATTATTTACTGAACAGCTAAAAAATGCTTCCACTAATATGTACACAGCATAGCTGCCTAATCCATCTTTGTTCACTCAGAAAGTTTACTCTTTAAGCACCTCAGAGAAATTGTCAATATCAAATCTTAACTACCGAATGAGCAGAATAAAACATCCCTCCATGCAAATCATTGTACCTGAATCTGTGGGCTGGGAAGAACCACTACCATTATCATTGCATATTTGTAATTGCTTGCCGCATAAGCCCCGGTTTCCAACAAAGCTGCTCAGAGAAACATCAAAGTGCAAAGCAGCAATTGAATTACAACAAAGAGAAAAAAACAAGCAAAGAACAATAATGACCTCACCAACACCACATTGGACAACATAAATTGCTAATGCCAAATGACACAAGTTAAATTCGTTACGAGATGCCAAAAGCAGTAAATAATAATGGTCTGTGGTCAAGCCAGTCTTGCTCACGTTGCTAAATTTATAAGAATCAACTTGATTTATATTAAACTTAAAAAAATAAACACACACACGCGCACACGTATATGATGTCTATACATATATACATTTCGATTCATACACAAGACATTTATATCAACACACACACACACACACACACATATATATATATGCACTTCTTTAACTGATGGTCACTTTATTTAGCAACTTACCGTCTTGATGCCTTTCAATCACATCAATTGCAATCTTTTACGAAATAACCAGCTAAAAGGGAGTAAATAATTTAATTAAATTTATTATGAAACAAGAGACTAGATCCTCACAAGAACAGAACCAAGTGGAATATCACGTAAGGATGGATTCCTTTCCTTCCTCTCATTTGGCCAATACTAAAGTTGCAGGAAGTTCCTTTCGAATTAATACAACAATTCCACCTAGTTTTCTGAGTTTTCTCATTTTCAATAGTAGTCTTGTTGTCAACAACGTATATAAAGTAACTGAGAGTTCAGCCAAATGTATAAAGAAAATCTCTTGGTGGCTTAAAAAAATGAAAAAAACTAGTTAAGAGGAGAAAATTATGCAGCCAACTTAAAAACAAAAAGGAAAAAAAAAAATCTCACTTACGAATCCTTCTGGAAGTTTGCTAGAACGCCATCTGTAGATATAGGTCCCACCAAAAAGTTTGTTGAAACATTGCTTTGTAAATCAGCAGAGAAAATTAATTAGACCAATGATGACAATATATGACCAAGGTAAATCAAAAAATAACATATGCTCACAATTTCACAAGCTTGCTCAACTTCCCAAGGGATGGAGGAATGTTTCCACTCAGAGAGTTGCTTGACAAATCCCTTCAAAAAGCAGCACATGAACATGTTACTTTACAAAGTCTTGCACCCAGAGAATGCATTAGTGTATCTGGCAGCGAGATCATAGCCTAAAAGTACAGCATTGAGGTAGTTCATTTGGTACTAAGTATAGATCATGAGTGTTTTTTTGTGTTTGTCCTGAAAGGAAATATTAATAAAGTGAATCACAATCACGCCTTTAACTTTTTTAGCAATTGGTGGTAGTATGTGTGAGATAGTTCCTCGTGAGAGCTCTGTCATCTTTTCAGAAAGCAATTATTGTCTCATAACTCCAATACTATAGAGAATAAAAGCTAACGGTGCAAGCATACATAACAATAATAGTTCAGCAATTTTAGCGAGCAACTTACAAACTCTCGAGCGGAGATATGTTCCCGATTTCACTTGGAATCGACCCACTTAAGTAGTTACCCTGTAAAAATCTGTGCAAGTAGAAAATGAAGAAATTCACACATGATTCAAGCAAAATGAAAGCCAAAAGCAGAAACAGATAGAAGACAATGTCTTAATTTGTAAAAGGAAAAGGTCATTTCTTGGTTTTTTCTGCTCTACTCTGTTTTAATAATTTGTCGAGAAAGCAATACAAACAGCTGAGTAAAACTAATCTGTCAAAATGTAGAACTTTGAAACAACCTAAAGAATATCCATCTTAAAGGAAATTGTAGTAAGAGATGCTATAACAACAATGATGCAATTTGCGCATATCTATGACAATTTCCTTTATTTTACTCAACAAATGAACTATAGTAGCAAACACTAACATTACCAAGAGCTTTATGCAGGGTACAACACATACCGGATGTATTAAAACAGCAATTTTATGACAAGCTCATAATAGAAACTTACATTGACTGCAACTGTGTGCAGTTCCCCAGCTCTGGAGGGATTGGCCCATATAAATAGTTGTCATGAAGAGCACTATGGGCAAGTAATTCAGATTATTATTAGCAGGAATTTTAGTTAAGTTACGAAAGAACAAAAGCTAAAAATGCATACAGGAACTCCAGGCTTTCTAGTTTCCCAATATCTGGCGATAGCGGTCCACTTAACCTGTGATTAGGGAGGCTCCTGCACCATTGAACATACCATCACATGGGGTTACGGTGTGCACAGACCTCAAGTTTCCATATAACTGAAGTGGGCATCAGTACATTTAAGACAGCTAACTTCAAAAAAATGTAACAATAAGAATTCTGACAAACGGCAAATGGAAATTTTATGGTATGAAACAATGAAGAGAAATTGAGCATGACGCCTCAAAATGCAAAAGAAAGCTACGAAAAATTTTCTAAAAACAATAACTCAGAGTGTGTTGTTGAAATAACTTCACTCAAACAAGTTGAAGTTCTTAAACTTGGCGCTATGCCAAGTAATGTAATATTTGAAACTGCATTTCACTTTACTATGATTTAATTTTGAGAGGTAAAAGTACTCATAAAAGGAGAAGTAGAATATATTTTAGTACCAGTAATATCTAGTTATATGAGTGGAGCATCTAGTATAATTCTGTGATCGAAATACCTATATCAAGGACCAGGGTCCAGGATATAAATTGCCCCGAATCACCAGATGCAGCTTCTTTGAGATCAGGGATCTTATGAGAACAGATTGACAAATTACTGATCTAAAAGAAATAAGGAACTCTATGGTTCTGGTGCCTCTAAGCAAATTTAATCTTTTTGGTGAGTAGATAGGGATGACAAACATCTCCAAGTAAAGAGCACATATATACTGCCCTACCCTAGTTCAACATCAAGCAAACTAAGTATTGATACGAGAATCTGAGTTCAAATTTGCAACATCCTGTAAGTATCAAGAAACGTACAATGTCGTAACTCTCCTTGACTTCAAGTCGCATGTTATTCCTCTCCAACTACATGGGTCCTCATCCTCTAGTCTCCATTGCTCCAAAATACCATCTGAACTAGTTATGGCTGTCTTAAAGTTGGCAAGAGCTTGACCTGCAAATCAAATGGTGAAGGGTCATAATTCCTACTGTATACTCAATACTAATGCTTCCACACAATATGCACATCAGAACTCAGGGCCTCAGGCAGTGCTATGTCTGATAATTTTGCGTGAACCCAGTCCTATGGCCTCCCAGCACCTCAATGTTGTTCAAGAGAATTGATCACAAAGAAAAACTTCTGAACATCTTGTAAGTTACATACTCGAAAAGAAACACTAAAAACAGTGAAAGCATTTTCTGATTCTACACAAATGTAATATGTAATCTATCTAGACTCAACAGATTTAATAGCACTCAACTACATTAACCAGCATACCATCTGGACTGAGAGATTCAGTTTCCTTAACCAGAATGTAAAACAACAAGATGCATAGAAGCAACTGCTGGAAGGTCACGTGAAAACTGCCCATCCTGGTGCAGTTTACACATAATAATCTTAGTAAAGATCGTCAGGTTTGAAGAGCAGAATCATCCCACAGCACATCCAGTTACTAAGGTGACAGTGCCCAGAGACCACTGTAGGAAATTGACAGCTCACCTGACAGACCAAATTAATACAGTCAGTTCACAAATTAATAAGAAAAATGACAAGTTGGAAAAACATGAATTTCATGTTTGTGTGTTTCTATTTTCAAGCACATTAAGTCAAAGAACTGTTTCAGGAGTCAGCCTACCTATATTTCACCTTACACAAACAAAATAGAGAGCAAGACATAAATTATCAGGATGATCGAATCTCAGACGTAGCAGCTCTAATCAGAGAGTATTAGAATGTAATTTCTTTTTTCTATCTGAAACCACAATAAACCAAGGGCATGTCTGGTTGATTAAGCTGAGAACAAACTGATAGTGGATAAATTGATAAGTTGATTGATATCTAATAAGTTTGTTCCGGACTGATAGTTGATGACAGAAACGCTAATTGATATAAATAAAAATATTTAGTATTAATAGTTGATAAGTTATCAGCTGACGTATTCAAAAGCTGGATAGCTTTTCTGAAAATCTTCTAGCAAGCTCCCAGCTTATTCCAAAAACCCATCCAACAAAAGAGAATGCAAGATGCCGATATTTCCTCTATAAATAAGCAATAACCCAGTTTTCTGTACTTATAACACACTCCAATTCGAATGCTTAGGTAGTTACAATGATAACAGCTTATCACACCCTAGAATGATATCAAAGCTCGAGTAAAAGAGCAAACTAGTCTGCATACTGCCCGTAATTTATTTATGGCTAACACATCTGCTCCAAGAGGCTAAAATCATAATGCAGCATGTGCATTAACTAGCAATATATTTACTAATTACTATATACAATCCGTTTCACACATTTCCATCTTCTAACTCCCATCATAACTAATCTTAGACGTTGAAAATCACACAGAGCAAGAGGAACTAGCTAAGAACATATGATTACACATAGAATTTACAAGGCATGCACATTTAGGTTGCTGGAAACTAAACTACACCACAAAATGCACCAATTCAACACCGAACTTCATTCAATTGCCCGTTCCTAAATCATGGGTTTAGAATCCCCAGTTCTAACAGTTTAATAGTCGACATTCATTGCACAATTCTGCACTCATCACTCAGTTTCCCCAATCACGACCGTTCTTCGTCCACTCAAGGCACAACAAAATGCTAAATCAAGACACAACCTAAGTATGCACAAAAATTCCTCTCACCAAACGCGCAGTATAATCTACAGAGCCCCATCACCAAATTTCACACTCACAGTTCATGGCCAAAAAAATGACAACAATCCAATTTTCCATAATTCCATTAAAAATCCACCGAAAAAAGGAGAAACAAGATTACCTGGAGCTGGCAGTAATGGTAGCAGATTTGGTATTCGCAATCTGATGTAGAGGGAACGAGATTGAATGTTTGATAATGGCCTTTACAGCTGTAATCTACTAATGTGAAAAGTCCAGCTTTCTCGCTCTAGAATTTGGGAAGTACGGAATGTTGGATTTGAGAGTGTGTGTAGACTGTAGAGAGAGAGAGAATCGAGAGGCAATGAGTAGAAGCCAATGAGAGGGCGGCAGAACGGCACGTGCCGCATCAATGCCCCACACGTGTGACCGACGCCTGTGTTGCGCTGTAATGAGGATGAGAATTTTCAACTCCAAAAATTATTTTCTACCATATAAATTAAATTAATATACAACATAAATATATATTTATTATTTAATATTAATTATCCTGAATAAAAATATCATTTTGCAGTGTAAATGGAGATCCCTCTGCATCAACATAATTTTTTTAATATAATTATGTTCAATTTATTTATAGTAGAGTCGAAATGCAATAACTCAAAATACATGGAAATTTTACTACATGACATCCCACATTCAAATGTTTTCTCTAACTATACTTTTTTAATAAATATGAAATATCTCGTACTAAAATTTATTATTTATAATAATTTATAGTATAAATAAATACACATTTTATGTTGAAAAAATATGGTGGATTGATAGGTAATTAACTAGCCTAATAACATCATTTGAGTTTTCGAAATTTGAGTGTCATACATTTATATTAAGACACATGCTCGTTTGTTTTTGCTTGTAAAGAAACAAATACAGTGATAATGTGAAGTGGAAGAGTAATAAATTAGGATACATAGGAATGTCATTTCAAGAAAGATTAGGCTTATGATTAACTGAGTTGATTCATTCAAACGTTACCAGATTCAGAATTAGGTGTTGTCTAATTTTATAATTTAGATATCACAAAAAATTCTATAGAGCAATCGAATGGTTTTTTTATGAAGTCATCCACCACTTAATGTATTGACACCTGTTCAAAGTATATTTATTGCAGGACACGTGTTAATACACTATTGATGAATAAGTGTAGACGACTCCATAAGTCGAGTCATCAGATGGTTCCATAAGTCGAGTCATCCGATGGCACCATAGCAAAACTGTGATATCATTTGGCAGTGGGATTTTTATAAGTTATAGGTCAATATATTCCATTAAGGTTGTATCATCTAGTTGATACTTACATGGGAAAATGAATCATGGCCCTAAGATAAACAAATTTTATGACCAAAAGATAAATTAGTTTGGAATAAATGAGACATTACAAAAGTATAATTTTCTCTTACATCGTTGTCACTCATGGGTCATGGGCCCAATAAATATTAACCCATTTATATGCTTTGAAATAAGGCTTAGCTAGCTAATGACGGCCTCCCTTTTGATTATTATTATTATGAAGAACTGTACTTAAATAACTATTCATCTATTAAAACATTTTAACCTTATGTATAATTTTTTTGGGTATTCTCATCGCGTAATTCTTAGGAGAGAGTAGAAAAAATTAATAAAATCTGACCCGTTATATTTCTTTCTGTTTCATAGACCCGAGCCCAACAATTTTAGAGCCCGATCATTTTTCAGAGCCCAACTTATATACTTAGTTTTAAGGCCTTGCTAAAACGAGCTGTTCTTAGATCAGAGCCCAATCAGTTGGGCCGCCTTCATATTTAAACTATAGCAAAAGGTATCATCTTACTTTCTCAAAATAAATTAAATGGTCAACAAATTAA